CTCCCATTATTTTGTGAGAACGAATTCTGGAATCATTTTTTCTGTTGGTGTCTACAGGCTAAAGGTTTTCCGACTCAACCCTCAATCTTCTAAGTTTTAGCATGGTGGATTAGGATTTTATAAGAGTTGCAAGGCTAGGAAGAAGCTTGTTTCCCCATTTCCTTTGGCCATCCTTTTAGCGTACTGGAAGAAAGTAGTAGAAATTTTAGGACATCTGATTTAAGGAATCTGCTATTTTGTCATCTGCTGAGGTGTAAATATCTTTTGTGCATGGGGTCCCCTCTTCAGAAGTTTGTAGAATGGTGGATGTAGGACGGTATAAGACTTACTAGGTTCTTTAATTATTTTGTTTAAATATCTGTCACTCCTTGATGAAGAACACTTGCGGAATCTTGTATTTTCTCTTCTACTGAGGTGTAAAAATATCTCGTGATGGTTGCCCTTCTCTCCTTCCCTAACCTCTTTTGCATCATAACCTTTGCAATAGGGAGGCTCCTGATGTGCTCAACGTCTTGACCTTGTTGCGGCCGGTTCATAGTAATACACAGCCTGATACTGGAATTTGGACCTTGGAACCTTCGGGTTTATACACTTGTAAGCCTTTCTTTGTTCCTCTTACTAAAACACTCAGCCCTTAACCATTTTACCAGTGCCAAGGACTTTTGGAAAGCTCCAGTTCGGTCAGAAATAGAGGCGTTTATATAGATGGCTATATATCAATGGCTTAACACTAATAAGATGTTAAAAGTCCTTTGGCCTAACCGCGCTATGTCTCCGAATATTTTATGTCATGTGTTATAGAGGAGGGGAGACATTCCTACTACTTCATATATTGTGAAAGGTATGGAAAATGTGGATGAGAATATCTGTTTGGTTTGGTTTATGCTGGGTTACTCCTACGGTTGAAAGCTTGATGAGTTTATGTATTCATGGGTAAGGGGTCAAGAAGGTGGCAAAACCTCTCTAGCAAGGGACTCTTTTACTAGATTGTGGAGTACATGGCCTCAGAGGAACTGCAAGATATTTGAGGACCTTTGCTTGTCATTCTATGGGCTAAAACTCTTTTGAATTACTCTAGTCTAGCTTTCTTCGGCCTTCTCCGGAATTGGAAGCAATTATTTTTTTCCTATAGGTGGTTTTTTGGTTCCATGTTTGCTTTTTTTGACCGCATGTAATTTTCTCTTTTAACATTGTTTGAGAGGATGTCTTATTCTCCGTATATGTATTCTTTTCTTTCCATTGCTAATAGTGTTTCTTTTTCTATAAAAAGAATTCCTTTATTTATTTCTGTGGTTTCTTAGTCTATTAGACTGATCAAATGAGCCGTAATAGTTTTCTTTAGATGGACTCAATTTTTAGACAGCTTTGGGACGGACAATCATTTTTGACTTCCATAAAAGGATTTCAACTCCAGATGCTCATTCCTTTCCAAGTCAGAACAGATAAAACATCAAATAATTGCTGTCTTTGGCATCTTTGTCCTATATACTAGTCTCATCAGTGGCCTGAAGTATGGTATTGAATGGGTATAATATTGTATAATAGCACTCTAGAATAGGACCTTTCTTTACCAGTTAATGGGTAAACTGATTTCTTTTCATGTTGCCTTTTAATCCGTAGTAATTTAATGTTCCATTTAAATACCAATTATCTATTATGTATTGAGAGAATTATGTCTCCTGTCTTTGTTACAAAGAATTAGTTTTCCATTGTTATTCATATTCGTGTTAGTACGCAAATGGTATTTCTTCTTCTTTGAATTTTTAAAGCCTTTATCTTAAATGTTCAGTTGCCATCAGGGTTTGCATTTTGACATTTAAATATCCAAGAAACTGTCACTGCAGTTTAACTCAACCAATTGGCCTACTGTCGTGGAGAATTACATCTGATGTTGGGGGCATATTTTGTTGTCAGGTACTGCATGGTTCTTTTTGCCGGTATTGCTGCTGAAGCACTTGTCTACGGGGAGGCTGAGGGTGGAGAGAATGATGAAAATTTGTTCAGGAGCATCTGTGTTCTTCTGCAGCCCCCATCGTCAGTAGCCCAGGTATCTCTCCAACAAATGCACCTGGTTTTTTTTTTTTTTGTTTTATATTTTTAACCCTCACCTTAGGCAGTATTCTTATATAAGATAAAAACTAAATCTTGGCCATTTTGCTGGGTAGATGTCAAATCAAGCACGGTGGTCAGTTCTACAATCTTACAATCTACTTAAATGGCACAGGCACGCTCATCGTGCTGCAGTTAAAGCTCTGGAAAATGGGGCTCCTCTTAGTGTTGTAATAAGAAGCATTGAGGAAGCCATGTCTTCCTGCAGATGAAATAATGTTGTAAACATAAGTGCTTTGTTCATGTATATAAATGGTAAGAGCTTCTATTTTTTGTAAATTTGCTTCTTCCTGGTGGAAATTCTAGAATAACTTGAAAA